TGTTTATTGAAATTAATTAAGTTGACAACGCTAATCTCATCATTTAATCTAAATAATCATATAAATTAGAAATTTCTTCCTATTCAAATTGAGAATTAATTTATAAATTATATCGATATAACTTAATTTAACCTAATAAAAATTTATTGCTAAAATAATTTTGTTTGTAGAAATAATTTTCAACAGTTGAAATTATATTTTTTTTTCAACTGCTGAAATAATTTTAGTTACTATAAATAATTTCGGTTTTAGTTGTTAAATTTAATTTAATTGTTGAAATATTTTAGTTTTAAAGTTTTAATTTCACTCCCATCTATAGACATACTGCACCCTGCTTTAAATAAATTTACCCTTTTTTATAAAACTATTTTTTTATTAAAAGTTAAACTATAATATTTCTATTATAAAACACTTTTAACTAACAATAATAATAATTTTAAATGAATTATAAAAAATTAAAAACATTTAATCGAAAATAACTAAACTATTTATAAAATTTTATAAACTATTAGTCGCAATTGGTACAACTCTTATAAATAATATTTTTTAATAAATTTGTCATTTCTTTCATCTTTTTATGAATATGTTCTAGTTCGACTAATATTGAAAAAATTAATAATTAGTATTGTAATGCTTGTACTTATCACCATTCTATTCAGATATAAATTTTACTAGCATTAATATCTTTATATTCTAATAATTCTACAATAGATCATTTTTTTAGGAGTCTTGCTTCTTTTGCTAACCATCTTGCTGGTCCACTAGCCATTCCCCAATTTTTAAGAGATTTCTGGTTTAATTCCAGAAAATCCTGACCAATTATTTCTTGTTGAAGAATAACGTAATAGTTTTCATTTAAGTACAATTTTTTTTGGCTCAAGTAATTAATTAGATTGGTTGTGCACTATTCATCTGAGATGTCCTGTTCCAAACTGTCCGTTGTCTGTATCCTATAACAATGCTAGTTGATAGTGAAGATGTAGTCACAATTGGTGGCAGCAATGTAGTCACAATTAGTACAACTCTTATTAATAATATTTTTTAATAAATTTGTCATTTCTTTTATCTTTTTATGAATATGTTCTAGTTTAACTAATATTGAAAAAATTAATTAGTATTGTAATGCTTGTACTTATCACCATTCTATTCAGATATAAATTTTACCTGCATTAATATCTTCATATTTGAATAATTCTACAATAGATCATTTTTTTAGAAGTCTTGCTTCTTTTGCTAACCATTTTGCTAGTTTACTAGCTATCCTCCAATTTTCAAGAGATTTCTGGTTTAATTCCAAAAAATCCTGACCAATTATTTCTTGTTGTTGAAGAATAGCGTAATAGTTGTCATTTAAGTACAATTTTTTTTGGCTCAAATAATTAATTAGATCAGTTGTGCACTATTCTTCTGGGATGTCCCATTTCGGACTGTCTGTTGTCCGCGTCTGTGTCCTATGACAATACTATTTGACAATGATGATGTAGTCACAATTGGTAGCAGCGATGTAGTCAAAATTGGTGGTGGCACAATTAGTGGCAACAATGTAGTCACAATTAGTGGTGGCGAAATTACTGTTGGCGGTGACAAAGTTACAGTTGAGGACAATGTTATAGTTGAATAAGATGTTGTTAAAGTTGAGGAAGATGTTGTTGTAGTTGGGAATGAAGATATTATAGTTGAAGACGATGACAATAGTATATTTGGAGATGATAACATTAAGGATTCAACAATATTCAATTTATATAATGCTGGTTTAAACTGAAAAATCTTCATTTTCGAAATGGATAAACACAAATCTAAACAAGATTAAATAATATAATTAATTAATTAATTAATTAATTAATATTAATATTATTGATTAATAACATACCCTTGATCTCTGGATTTTTTAATATGTTTAATTTTATCAAATATATTTTCTTTAATCCACTCTTCAATATTGATATCATCAATACATTTTAACACATGTGGTGTTATACCCCCAAAGAACACTGAAAATTTAGTTCCTTCTTGACAACACTCTAAAAGAGAAAAAAAAAATCATTAATAAAAAAAAAATAAAAAATTTTATATTTATCAAAAATATCAAAATTTCATATGTGTTTATCGAAAAGGCTAATTCGATTTAATTCAATAAGTGTTACGAAGATGATAAGTTTAACCACAAAGGCAATAGACAAAATAAAAGGTGGCAAAACAAGCACAATGGTGGGTGTTTAGCCAAATATTAAGTGCGAAGGCGGTATAAACAAACACAATAGTGAGAGTTTAACCAAAAGTTAATCGCAAACGTAGTAAAACAAGCACAAAGGTGAGAGTTAAACTACTACTTAAGAAAAGTCGACCACCTTTGTTGTTAAACTTAATCACAAAAAAGAATGACTTCTCACATTAAATTAAATTAGCCTGCTACGAAATTATTTCCGCTATAATCATAAGCATTTTTTTTTTTTTTTTATGAGAATAAGTTTCCAAACTTACCCATATTCGTCAAAAACACGGTCATAAAAAGCGTAAAGAATATGGGTTACAGTATATATAGTCAATAGTGAACAATATGGTCAACAGTGAACAATATGGTCAACAGTAATAAAAACGCGTAAGCGTCGTAATTTTCGAAATTTATCTTTTTTGGAAATCTAAAATTGACCAATCAGAATACAGATCAATATCACGTTACACTAGGCCTATCAAAACATAAAACCATACATACGTTTGTTGCACCAACCTATAAATCAATAATATTAAAAAAATGTAACGTCTTCTAGATGCAGATGCAGACTGCTTGATAGCTAGGGATGTTAAATTGCGAATCCAGTCCGGTCCGATCCTAGGATCTAAAAAAACAGTCCTGGACTCGATCCTTTAAATCACATGAAAATACAATACATTTTATAGGACTTAGATCCTAAATTAATTTTGTATTGTTATAATAATTCAATTCAGGATCCAAGTCCTATAAAATGTATTGTGTTTTCATGTGATTTAAGGACCGAGTCCTTACCAATCCTGCAGGTCCTTGTAAGGACCGGTTAGGATTCGGTCCCAAAAGACCGATTAACATCCCTATTGATGGCGTCACAACTAGCAACTATGGTATTTAAACTTGTATCGCTGCCTAATGAAAAGTCTGTACCTAAAACATTGTTCGAAATAGTAGCAGGAATAAACACTATAGGAATGCAGAAAGCAGGATATTCATCCCTAGCAGCATTTAATTTTATCAAAGAAGTATAGGCTTAAAACTTCCAATAATAAGTAAAGCATTTATTCCTTGCTTTTGTAATTGAAATGCAACCATGCCTAAATCATCAACTTCGGTTTTATTTGTACCAAGCTCAGATCCACCTTTGACGTCCAATTATCAACATCTAACTATTTAAGTTCGCGAACATTTTCTCTTAAAAGACCAGATAGGCCATTATATATAGCTATAGGTTTATGATCGCGATTAATAGTAAATCGAACGGCAACACGCGTCGCTGCATTCATTCCGCCAGTAGGCGCACCAACATGAATTATACCTATCTTTAAGCTCTGAAATAAATGGAATTGTTAAGCATTATTAATAATAGTTAATAGATATATAATTTTAATATATATAATCAAAAGTACAAACATGATTTCCTTGCAATGATTGTGCATTATCGTTTATAAGGGTTGTAGACAGATACGTTTCATAATCATCTTCCATTGCTCTACGAAAGTTTTTTTCTTTAATAGCTTCAGCACCTTGATGGGTCTAACATATTTAAAGCATAAAAAAAAAAAAAAAAAAAAAAAAAAAAAATTTAAACAAATCATATAAACATCAAGTAAACCTAAGACAATGATTTATTCTGACCAATTTAACAGCGTCCATTAATGGCTCGCATGTTATTTTATTCGCTCTTATACCAATCATCGGAGACGGTATATCAGGTGTTGCTCGAAGAGCTGCTTCCACAGCTTCAACGCTTTGAATAGTAGCCTGTTAAGAAAGAAGTTTGATAAATAAATAACAAATCTATTTTAAATTTTAACACAGTAGATGACAAAAGCTTACCAGACACCGATCATAAACACATGGACTACCACCGCGTTTGATATGCCCCAGTGTCGTGATCCTTGTATCAATTTTCATGTCAGTCGAAAGTTTTTAATTTCATCTGGCTTGATAGGACTTAGATTGTTGTCAATGGCACCTTCAGCTACGATTATTATTGTGTTGCGTTTACCGGTGTTACGTTAAACCAAAATAAATAAATAAAAAACCAAGAAATTTTAATATAAAGAATTTTTTTTTATCGTATAAATAAAATAAATGAAAATTAGACATTTGTTGCTTTAATATAGGGGTAGGTTAAAGCGGAACAGTTTTTTTAAAAAAAACGTTTTTTTAATTAATCTTAGGGGTAGGGCCATTTTCAAGTTAGATTTAGAAGTGCATATAAGTAAAATTTCCTCCTCGATATTTTTTATTAGTACTCCGAGGTAAGTTTAGATTACCGTTTCCTGTATTTTTCGTATTTTTTTTCCCTTTTTTTTTCGCTTGTTTTGCTTCGTCGCGGATGATCCGGGTTAATCAAAATTTCACAATTTTATTGGTCAATCATCTGTTTATCATCAAAAAACTGCTCCGTTTTAACCTACCTCCTAATGTATAAATCTTTGAATAATTATCTACCTAATAGCAGCCATTAATGCCAACCATCCACAGTGTCTTCCCATCACTTCAATGACAAAGGCATGGGAATGGCTAAAAGCTGTAGAAGAAATGCTATCAACAGCTTCGCAAATACGATGTAGTGAAGTTACGGCACCAATGGTAACATCAGATGCCATATCATTTTCGATTGAACAAGTGTCGCGTGTGGGGCGACATCTTCTGCGGTTAACTTTCCTGTTCAATAATTATATTATGAGTAGAAGTACAGTAGATAGTTTGTTTATTAACATGTTCATACATTACCAGTTTGAATAAATTTCATTCGTCAAATCAGGCCATTCAGATCTCAGAATATCAGCACCAGTTAATGTGCCATCACCACCAAGCGTCAATTCCAAATTATATGCTGCTTTGAGTCTACCTTCACGTTCACGAAAAGTTTGAAAACGAACAGTTCTAATAAGCGCACCACCCTATAATTATAGCATAATAATGATTTTGCACACAGATAAATAAATAAATCTGAAGCTTGCAAATACTGAAACCTACTATAGCAAGATATCCCCCAACATCTCTTCATCTATCAGATCTTCACCTTGTACTAATCCTACATGGTTTTAAAAGAAATGAGCGATTTTTTTATAATTTATAACATTCCCAACTTCAAAGTTTATAAAACCAATACCTCGCGTATGCGTGAAATGACAACTCTTACGATTGATCTTACCGCAGCATTAATGCTTGGTGAGTAGTGATCCCGATTTTTCGACCGGCTAAGCCGATAAAATTTTATCGACTTAGTCGGCTTAGTCGATTTTTTATTACAGCTATTTCCATAATTTCTGGAACAGACCCGAAATCTTTTTGGTCATCTGGTAAATTATCTAACTCTCCAGAAACTACATTGTTGTCTTCGGACTTTCAGTCCAGAGGCAGCAAAGTAATTTCCGGAAAGCTAGATAATTTACCGGATGACCAAAAAGATTTCGGATACCGAGTAGGTGTTCCAGAAATTATGAAAATAGCTGTAAAACTTCGGAGTTCGTTCATTTTCTACATCGGAACTTTCAGGTTCGTTCATTTTCTACATCGGAACTTTCAGGAATGTCATATCCTATTAATAAAATCGATCAACCAATTTTTAAAAAAATCGACCGGCTAAGCCGATTTTTTCACTATCGGCCAGGATCATACCTAATTTGATTTAAAGTTATTAATTAACTGATAATAACGAAATATATACGTATATATATATATTATCAAATTTAAAAAACTAATCAATACGTATTATAATTTGATAATTAAATAAGTTATATTTTATTAGTCTAAATAAAGTATTATATTAAATCTAATATATATAAATTTGGGTTTAATCAATAGAAATTAGGCAAAGTAAATTTTTTTAAAACTTAAACAAAAATAACAACAAAAAACTTAATCAAATTTAATAAAAATTTTTTTAAAATAAATGCTACAATTTTGTAGAATTCATTTAAAAAATCTTTTGTTAAATTATTGTTGCTTAAAGTTTCAGAAAAAACTTACTTGATTTCTATTGACTTAACTCCAAATACTACGATACATACTGTATATAGCACTTTATATTATTATTCTAATTTTTTTGGATTATAATTTTTAAAAAGTTTGTAAATATAAATTAAAAATTATTTTGTAATTATAAACACATGAGGCATGTTCCAACCCAAAGCATGTTCACAAAATCATGTCTTTTTATTTAATTATCCCCAACTCTAGTTAAGAAGTTATATTTTTATAATATAATAACTTAGTAATTAAACCTATAACGCAACACATGCATAAGAGCGACTATATCTCTATTATTCGAACAATAAACCCGAAAAAATCTTGTGAATTTGAAAAAAAAATTCATACTTTGACCAAACAGTGTTATATTTTTGATTTAAAAGAAGGTGGGATAGCATTATCTAAGACAATTAAGACAAATACATCGTAAATATATCATAATTCAAATGTAAGGAAATTAATTAAACTATACACTATAATAATAGAAATCATGATAGAATAATTTCAAAACTAATCTTAACTCAATTGCCCAATTAAAATAGCGTTCACAGTAGATCCTTTGTCTAATTCTTTACATAAATCAGTTCTTTCGGGTAACTTTAACAAAGCATTACAACTTCTCAAACTGAGAATGCGGCTACTAATTTGATATCCTGTGGAAATTGCCATAAATTTTCCTTTCGAATGATCGAAAGAAATCACTGCTCGATGATATTCAGGACGCGGATCAAGTGATATTTTGTCCGTTAACTAGTATATATAAAATAAATTTTGAATAAATAAACATAAGAAATTTTCTTCAGAAAATTAGGGTCACATTTTTTTTTAATTACCTCTGCTTGTAAAATAGGCAAATTCCAATTTTCATAACCAGCTAATTTTCGAAGTGCAGGTAATACAAACAAATAAAAAGTAACAGTAGCAGAAGCTGGATTTCCAGGTAATCCAAAGATTAACTTTTCAGATGTGTCAGATGTTCCTGGAAGAGTCGCAAAAGTAGTTGGCTTTCTAATTAGGTGAAATCAATAAGGTTTTAATTTTATTTTATATGATAACGGGAAAGTTTATTAAATCTGATTACTTTACCCTGGTTCATCTTCACTCTTCCAAAATGGATAGTTGCACCCAAAGATTGTTCTAAAGTAGGTTTAAATAAATCTAATTCGCC